AAGTTGTGCTTTGCAGTCAAGCATCAAATTGTGGCCTTTTTGTTCTCGTTTATGTTGCATTGATCAACCATAATCGGCGGATACGCTATGGACCTCCTTCATATATCATTTCTTGTTTGGAGCTGTGTGTCTATTGACTTTCAAGAATACGACAGGAATTGTTGCTTTATTATGCGACCAACTCAAAACACACTATTTCTTATGTGGATGGAACACTCTAGCAACCTAAATCCTGTGGCTGTCTTATACGAGATACCAGAGATAAACACATGCTACTACCGCACTGCTGAAAATGGAGGCCTTTTGAGTACTCACTGAGATATGAAGGACAAGGGACTGCTGTGTTTCCAAAGCGAGTGCACCAATGGAAAGGAAAATTTGGAAACTCTTGGGCACAATTACTGTAAGGCTCTCGACCACTGCATTAGATCCAACTGGTATGCACGATTTCTTGATACCAAATGATGGCCACCTGGGAAGTCTCTAATTTCACGCACCCCAAACTGTTTGCACACTTTTCAATTGGCTGACTGAAAGGTGTTGGCACTCCCTAGAATTCATACCATAATTATGCTCTCCACAGCTCTGTAAAAATAATTCTAAAAAGCGAGGTGAAAAAGTGTTGAGTCACACCTACTTTACAGTTGTTCTACTAATGTGCCGAGATAACACTTTATGTGTGAGTGTCATTGAATTGTCAGTGCATGGAGCTGAAGTTATGTGCTATTGGTGGTCACCTGAAAGGCATGCTAAGTGTTAGCTTGCATGCATGCAAGCCACCTGGTTTTTTCCTTCTTGTCTGGTGTGCCTAAACAGGCCACCTTACATTATAACGATTACTGCCCTATGAAGTGTATGTAGGTTCTTATAATGGCAAATATCGGGCAACCAGAAAAATCACACCTTTGTAGGAAACACACATGGTTTAGAAAGTGTTTGGTTTAGGGTAAGCTTTCTGCATATTTTTTTAAATAGTTTATTTCAAGAGGATCTTTAGAATCTTTTTCAATATGCTAAATGTGCCCTCTAGCTTGTTTGAATGCATGCTCAATAATTTGTGCTTTAAAGGGATATAAAAGACACCATTGTGGCAACAAACTGTTCTCTAAAACTAGTTTCAGTGGTTTCACCATAGAACATGAAAAGATGACCACCAAGGTTTCATTTCCTCAATCTGGCACTGAAACTAGAGCCCATTATGGTAGAGGATACAGGAGTTACATTTTAGCACTTATTCATCATTTTTCTATAATGGCCTAGTGTTCAGTCTTTTGCTATTTAAAAATATAATGTAGTCTGCATCCTTACAAATTAATATTTTCCCTAATTCTGAGGCTGATAAAGTTTGTGATATTACCTATATTAGATCAAGGAGATTCATAATGGCACTTGTGTTGGACTTTTGACACTCCTGTCTTCCAGTGATTAAAGTGATTCTTTTAGCATAATAAAATCATTAACGCGGTTTTGTTTGGCCTTTGCCAGTATTGCACACACATCATCTGCAAATCATGCAACAGTGCCAATGTTCAAAAGGAGATAAAGTGCGTTAAAAAAAATCGCTACATATCCTCGGAGTGAGTGATGATGAGTGGGACGAAGCGCTGGAGGGTTTCATTGCTAAACCGTGAACCATCCACGAATATCGCCCACTATATCATCATAGATGTGACAGACACTGTATATATTTACACAAGAAATTTTATTTGCAAGTAGTAGCTATACGTTCCTTCCATTTCCCCTTCATTGTAATGGCTCTATGTCGGTGAAGTGGTGGATTCATGATGGGCCATAGTGGGGAGTTTGCAAGGACGAAGTAGTGGGCAGTTTGCAAAGGTGGAACTATAGGTGGTCACGTACAAACAAGGAATGGACACAGTGGGATAATTTATGGTTCTTTTAAGCGCACCTGGATACAACTACATGGCCATCTTGCATTTCATATTGGCTAATTCTCCACAGTATTTGCTTTATATGGTCGGTGAATGGGTGGATCAGTGATGGGGCATAGTGAGATGTTTGCAGGGACGAAGTAGTGGGCAGTTACAAAGGTTGAACTATAGGCAGTCTCATACATACATACAAGGGATGTACAGACCCACGCTTTTAGAAGCTTCGCCCCTAAAAGAAATGTTCAGAAGATGCGTCATTGAGTTTTTTGGTTTCTGTTCACCGCATTCTTGGTTTTTGTCGATTCAGAGATGGTTATCGCTGATCCAACTGTGTCGCTTGCAGAGCCGTACGTCGGCAACATAACGATCGATTACCACATGCTGTACGCGCGCCCTTACTGCCAATACACCGCCATGCATCGGTAGACTGTGAAGCTGCACCAATGCACCCACACAGGTGAGCGTTACCCAAAAACAGAATTTTTGTGTGCAACCTGTGCAGTTGACGCTTTGTGCTATGCACCCACCTGATGGTGCGCCGGAAGCACCACGTCGGAGTGAAAATGCCCCGCGAGTTGGAGTGCCCCAACTGTGAAGCATAATAGTCAAACGAGAGGTCGTTCAAACTGCACTGCTTGTCGCATATTTGTGGGGCAAGCTTCACGCTGCAGCCTGGTTACTACGGAATGCTGCACCAGAGTCACCCTAAATATATGAACTATTTCAGTGCAGCACTAATTGATTATGGAGCTCAAGGAGCGGTGTACCACTGCCCGTCTCCAGTGCTGGCTTCGTTGGTCCTCTTAGTGGACATTTACAGAATGTACCATCATGTGATAGAATTATATTTTATGTTGAAAGAAGGGTGAATGGAGACGTCCTCAAGATTCTTGACAAAGAGATGCAAAGATTGCAAAGGAGTGTAGTTCTGCTGCAGAGTCGGTCTGTTACACCGTACAGAAGTGTTCTGCATTATCTTGGCAAAGTCCATCTGGCAGGGGGTCTGTGAACTGTTTTTGTTTTTAGACTATACAAGCAATCTTGGTGAAGCTTTGCACTACAGTTGATGTGAAGCACCTCATGTTGAAGCTTTCTGCAAACAATTATAAGTCGTTCTCTTCTCAAGTCGTGCTTTTCCACCTCAACATTGACGCGTCGTGGGGGCTAAACTTTGACTTCAGCAGTCGTAAGCTGGTGCACCAGTGGACGATCACGCAGGCTGCAGTCCGTGTTTGTCTAGTTCATATTTGTGGGGAGAAACGTTGCCACAAACCCAGGTGCACCAGCGTTTTTTTATGCACTCTGCACACATGTAAGCTTGGCTGCTCTGATACGAAGAGCGACCACATTGAAGGCTCTGAGCAGCGTTGACTTACTGGCGATGCTATGAATAGTATATGACTGCGAATAAAGTCAATGTTTTCATCTAATGCCCGTGTGAGTGTGAGGAAACACAGTTTTTAAAAGCCGAGAGTTGGAATAAATTTTTTTGACATGTGCTTTGGTACTACACTTGTGCACAAATAAAAGAGTGGGTATTTCTTATCTCAGAATTAAAGAAGTTTTACTACATTTTATATGTAGTCTAAATTTGACAATGAAGGCTAGCAATATTCTTATTTTTTCCAGTGCCAGAAAGTTTAAAACTGGCCTTCAGCAAAGTACTATATCTGCACAAGGCACTGAAAGAATACCTGTGCATGCACTGATAACATGTGCATGGTGCAAATAATTACTTTTAAAAATAATCTGTAGTGAAAGCTGTTGCAGTGAGCCAGGGCTTGCTCCCACTTTATATTGCAAGCATATGCTTATCGAGTCATGTCTGCTCAGGCATCTAGTTGTTTGACTTTGTTAATGTAAACACAAAGTTAACTAACGATAATGTAAGAGATAACTGCTCCAGATAAGTGTTATGTTGATAAATGATTGATATTTTATGCCATGTTTTTTTTATAATGATTAAAAGATAACTGTTCCAGATAAAAGGTATGCTAATAAATCATCGATATATCATGCCATGTTCTTTTATTATTATTATTATTATTATTATTATTATTATTATTATTATTATTATTATTATCATTATCATCATCATCATCATCATCCATGTGTATCTATTGTTTCCTTTTTTCATTTATGTTCCCGATTCCGGATTCGCGCAGCTTGTCCTTACAAAACTGCCGAGAGTCATTTTGAACTAGTCTAGATGGTCTGCTTGATAGAAAACCTTTCCTTGTCAGAATTATCATGCTGAAAATTTCTGACAGCATTTTTATACTTGGGCTTGTCCTTCATTAATTATTAGCAGGCAGCCAGACATTTTTTCATAAAGATTAGCTACGAATTTTATTAAATTTTACTTCATACATGCTTACATTTTTTTCTTCAACAGCAAGAGCTCTCCTTTTAGAAGTGGAGTATTCAGCAAACACTAAAACCTTATAACAAAGTTGCATCTTACAAAAAAATAACTTCGTTATGTCCAGAAATTCGTTATTTAGTACTACATTTAGTACAAAACCAACCAAGACTTCTTCGTTTTCTTCTTGATAACCAATATTTCGTTATATCTGGGTCCAATATATCGACGCTTGAGTGTAACCATTTTGAGGAACCAACATTTAAATATATCAAAGCAGTTAAGGGGTGTTCATCTCCAATAACATTTGAACACATAGGGGAAAAAATATATGCAGTTCTTTTTTTTTTTTTCGTCACTGCGCGCTGTTCTCACCAAGCCAATGTTAATGAAAATGGCGGATGCTACATTTTTTTCTTCTTCTATGGGGTGCTCCATGTGCCCGTGCCTGTAAAGATTTATGCGCCATAGGTTCCGTCGGCAATATTTTATACAAGCTGCTCGTTAACATGGCCCAACGCTCCTAAATTTGAGAAAAATTTAAGAGCGTTGGCTTGGTCCTTGTTATACCCGCCGCACCTAACTGATGGTGGTGCGGCAGTCAGTTTCGGTTTCGTTTTCGACGTTAAACCCCGCGAGACCACGCTTGTGTCGCTTTTCTTCCGTATTAGACATCATCATCACTACTGAGGAGAGTTTTGGCTTTTATTTGTTTTTAACTGTTTGCGTGTCTCCGAAGCAAAGCGCGCGCTGTCGCCATGACAGAGCGAGTCTGTTCTTGTTTTTTCCTCGGCGAGGTCGGGCGCGCTGGCGGCCGGTGATTTATTTTTCCTCGTTCTCACCTAGGATGTGGCTGGGCGACCGGCGAGAGGGGAGCGCGTAGTAGTAGCACGCCAATCGCCAGTCGTGGAGCTCAGCTCCCGTTTTCTCAGTATTATTGTTTCTCTCGAGTGGTAAAAGACGCGATGAGCGCGGTCAAAAATTCGAACGTGCCCAACCCGCCGAGCTCCAAGAAGCGCGGCGGAGGCTTCCTTCGCCAGGCCAAGTCCCGAAAGGACCACCCCGCCGACTTGGAGCCCATCACCGAGGAGGAACTCGCCAAGAAGGACTCCATCTCACCCGAGGACGTTCTCAGACTACAGAAGATCACCGAAGGTGAGCGAGTGCAGTTCGCGATTGCAATACAACGCACGGAGAAAGGTGATCGAGAGGGTGCGAACGGCGCAGCGCGCTTGATTCTCGCTATGTACCGTTATATGCATGCCTCTGGCGCCCTGCTGACTACCTGACGCCGCTCTTCCATCAGCTGTTTCTTTTTCGCTCCCACCGTGACGTGTGCTCGTCTGCTAATAGCACTGGCGCGCGTGTCGTTTCCTGCTGCTGCCGGCTAGCGCGCGTTTTATCGGCATTATTGATCTGGAATCGGTGCCTTTTCCTTTTTATTCGTGGATCGCGCCCGCGAAGGTCGCCGGTCTTTCGTGCGCGCCGTCCTTCGCAGAAAGGCCCGGTTGCTGCGGTCGGGCGTTTTCACGTATTCCACTCGCGGCGATCTATAACATCTCGCGGTCGACGCTTTGCTCTTGTGCGGTCTTGATTTGGCCTGCGCTAAGTTCGTTTCAGTCGTAAACTTATGGCCGCGACGCTCGAGGGGCGTGGGTTTTCGTTAATTACCGCGTTCGTAAATTAATTTGAACGCGGCTGTTATCTCGGGGACGACTGCCAACAGGCGGCCGGATTTGACATCCGAAACTGCTGCGATGGGAGAACGACGTTCAGGCCGTGAAGCGCGCGACGTGCTGCTGGGAAGCTTTCGGAAGGGTGAATGCGAAACCGCGAAGGGTTCGCATGGTTGAGCTGCGCTCTCGTTTTGTGTCGTGCGGTGTTTCAAGTATTCTGAGGTCACGTATGTGCGACATCTACAAGCTTGACGCACTCCCTGCGAATGCGTCGATTACTTCCGTCATGGGAGAGATCGCGTCGAAGATCTCGACATGTGTCGGGACGTCGCGCGCGTATAATTATTTCTGCGTGCCAGTCCGCCGATTATGTCCTTTAAAAGAGCGCGAGGTCGTTCTCTTGGTCCGCATTTATTTCGCCACGGCTCTGCAATAGCCCGCGCAGGCACCGTCATTGCGGGGCATCGTACCACCGCGTTGTTGTGGTTTCGACAGCACCGCGCGCCTCCCGCCAGGTTTCGCAACGAGGTGATGCAGCTCGCGTCCACGACAGTTCTTCGCTGCGGGATGTCGCTGGGTGCGGGAAGAATAGGATATGATGGGCGTGTGACGACGTAAGCGCGGTCGTTTCCGCCAAAGGAGTTCGTCAGCGGCGCGTTTCAACTGCACCCACCGCAGCGGAAGGCAGATAGAGCCGTGTTTGGGGTTGCCACACGGAAGTTTCTCTGTATTGTGCAGCAAGACCTGGCGAACGCGAGCCGGGGACGGTGCTCCCTATTACGCAGAGGCCGTGGAGCGCGCGCTGACTAATACGGCGCCAGCACGAGGAAACGGATGCGGCGCTGATACGCGCCGTCTGATGATGCACTGTTGTCGGGCGCTAATAAACCGGCAACATCGCTTACACGGCTCTGTAGCGCGCCGTCGTGTGCGTGCCGTTTCTTGGCGGCACTCGACAACGCGGTACGTGCGTTGCATATTGCCCACAAGTACTTCAGTACGCCGCGTGAAGCTTAAGCCGAATGCTGCAGTCCACAGCACGGACTGACGCAGCTTTTGCCATTAAATCATTAAATAAAGCAGGTACTTTTCACGAAACTAGAAGGCAAACGTCAAGCGCTTTTCAGGTCCGCGCGATTCCCGTTGTCGCCGTCGTCGTAGGCCCCCGTCGGATACCGTATACGTTCATAGAGCGCATATGGTTGAAAAAAAGAAAAAAAAAAGACCGTACTTTGTCCGTTCGGCCGTGCATCTGTCCGTCGGTGGATCCTGCAGTCGTGGCGACTTCAACGTTGCCATTACGAACCTTAAGATATCTGGGTTGGCTCCATCATCAGCATTCACTTCGTCGGTCGGCTGCCATTTTTTTTTTCGTTCCGTGCAAAGTTTGCACTTATTTGTTTTGAAATAGTTAATCAACCAGCCTAGCGTCACATTTTGTTAAGCATTCTACCATTCGAGCATCGTGACGCCGTACCCTATACCTCTACATGTAACTTAGAAGTGTGTTAGCTTGGGCCAGTTGGTATGGCATGATGATAGTTGTAGCGCGAGAACAAAACGACGACGCAGAGATAAGGACACGTGTCCTTTTTGTCTCTGCGTCGTCGTTTTGTTCTCGCGCTACATCTATCGTCCTACCTCTACAAGAGAGAAACAAAATGACACATCGACATGGGTTGCGTTCACAGCTTGTGCTTCTGTGCTGCTTCTGTTCCCGGATTCCTTTATGGTACATTCCACGGGTCTTCTTCGAGCGCTCCGGAGGCTCTGAAAAATGTTAGTAAAGTACCAACCATAAGCACTACCACAAAAATCATCGGGCATGCACATAACCGGGAAGAATAGGAACTTACATGACCTGCACACATCTCTTTTTATTGTTCTTTTTAGAGCCTTAAGGCGGCTGAATTCACCGCTTTCAAACACAATCAGAGCGCTCGCAAACGACCACCCGAATGTGCTGTAAATCTCCTGTGCCGTTCTGTTCTTTTAACTCCTTTGCTTATACATTCGCACTGCTGACTACATGTTGTTCATGCATTGGCTCTGTGCGCTTGACGATTTACAGTGGGACTCCCAAGTGAATGTGCATTCTTCTTATGTTCATTTTTTTTATTCATTACCTTTATAAATAAATGCATATACTACGAACGTTCTATAGGCTACTTTCCGGACGTGTTCAGTTGCCGCCATCTTTGGCTGATAACGTTGCTGATTCGTATCAAATAAACAAAACGTGTTACGGTAAACCCGCACGCACGAAAACGCTTCGACCGATAAATTCAGAGCTTCATGACCGTGATAAATAAATATTACGACATAGAAGAACGGAAAAACGAATGCTTATCAGCCCTAAATGGCGATGCAAATGAACCGAAAATGAGAGATCACTGCTTCTGGCTGAATAAACATAATCACTAAGCCGAGTATATTGCGATCATGATCTACCGCAGAAATCAACCAATATGTTCACATGTTTTATGCTAAAATATCGTAAACAAGCACGCTCGTTAAGTACAGCTAACAGTTCCATCTTGGTAAACGCATTTCCTGTAAATATATCTACCTTTAATGCACTGACGTAAGATGGCGTGGTTGCGCTTAGCTTTCGCGACATCATCATCACTCCGCCACCTTTTGTTTAACAGCCCCTCTTCCTTACTCTTCTCCGGAATGGTGTTACCGACAGTGCACGTGTCGTACGATGTCGCTGCTCTGACGTCATAGCTGTAGCCCGTATGCTAATGTCACGTGCAGGTGGCTATCAGTTTCGCATCTCGCAGTCTCATTTTTATGGGGCCTGCACGCGCACAACGTAGAGGTATTCTCCGCGGGGCAGCTTTTAAAATTAGGAGGAACTCGTTTTTCAAGCAGCCTGCGTGCGTGTGTGTGTGTGTGTGTGTGTGTGCCCTGAAAAATCGAGGACAGATTTCATCTGACTTAGTAACTAGACCAAGACTATATTGCTGTCCATTCGTTTGTCTCTCGCCCTCTTTTGCAAATTATTTTCTGAGCCTATATACTACAAATTCATTCTAAAGAACAAGTAATCAAAGCTACGTAGAAAGGATATCGTGTGTGCAATATCGATGAAGCCACCGTCAGCCAATATGACCGCTGTTTAATAGTTGCGTAAGAGATGGGTGGCGCCTGATACCTCTAGCTTGGACAAGGAATTTGAAAACACGGACTTTGATGGCCACCGCCTTCTGGTCGAATAGTCGGCCTGTGTCCAGAAATTAATGCAGAGTTTCGAAATAACACTTTACCAACCTAGGTTGGTTTCGTGGTTCGATTTAGTAGTGCTTCGTTAAAAGTATTTATCCCGAAAGCGCGCATGATTGGCCTGCGCTTAACCATGCAGAGTCATTTCGTTGCGCACGCATGTGTGCTTGACGGCTACCTTTAATTGCGTTTTGCGCGACGATGCTGCGGTGCAGGTATAACTACGAGTGCAGATTTCCTCTAAAACAGAGAAGAGTGAGATTGAACCACGTTAATATATCTCCAGCTTGACGTTCGCAAAATACGTATCATAGATTTTTTTCTTACTGAGTTGAAAGAAATTTGTCATAGGATCAAGTTTGTGCAGCTGTTTGGGTAAAATTTTGTCCAGGCGCAATCCACATATGTAATCGTTCTTGCACTTGTTTCCTTCGTGTCGCTCTTTGAAATCACGAGAGGCGTTCCATCTGTTCTGTCTGATAGATTGAACAACTGAACGCAAGTTTGATCGTTGTTGCGGGCCTGTATATAGATTTTCCCACTTGAAGAAGAAAAAAAAAAATATTGTATAGCTACGCTCAATTAAAACATTCCGCATCTTTGGGCGCAATCATCATCATTCTTGCAAATGTTAATAATATGGGGGTTTTACGTCCCAAAACCAAGATATGATTTAGAGAGGCCCCGTGGTGCTCCGCAAATTCGGCCATCTGGTGTTCATTAAGGTGCATACTATATGTATAAGTGTCCTTACCATTTCGCCTCCATCTAAATTCGACTGCCGCAGCCAGAATCGAACCTGCGACGTTCGGATCAGCAGCCACTGATTCACCGAGGCGGACATTCCCGCGAATTTTTCCGCGAACGATGATATGTGCGGTGCGTCCGTCATCTTCGATATAAAAACGTTTACCGCGCCAAAGCGCGAGGGAAACGTTGCCCGCCTGCGGTATACTTCGGCTACTTCCGCGCGTGTTTTGTTCGGCCGAATAGGCGCGTGTTATATTTAGCCGAGGACATATGCCGTGGTAGGGAACTATTTCACAGGAGTGATTTGCCGGTCCTTGAGTGACGTATTGTCGTGGCGTTTGTATATGCTTTCTTTTCCTGCGTCAAAAGCTGACCCAATGCTTGCGTCTACTTTATAATATATGTGTTACAGTAGTGCTATTTAATGAAAAAATCCGCTGTCAGACGGATTTCCGGGATTCATATGGCACCATGAGCAGCTGTTTTACAGTAGAAGTAAAC